TTATTACATAACCATAGATGGTCTGCCATATAACGTGATATATATATATATATATATATATATATATATATATATATATATATATGAAATTTTTAGAATTTTTAGGTTAAGGAAGCAAAATTAACTTAGCAGTGGTTAGATTGCCCAGTTGTATCTGTTTGTTCTGAAACAACATCATTGGTGTTCATGATATCAAGATATATCACATTTCTATCACACTCAAAGATAAATCTGATTTTTCCGAAGCAAACTAAATGTTGATTCTCAAGGAGGTATCTGTATTACTAGTATGACTATTCCAGGTCAGGGCAGCAAGCTGTACCTGCACACCATCAATGCCAGGCTGGTGGCAGAGTATGACTGTAGGGAAAGGATCTTCTGCCTGACATACTCCACGGCACCAGAAGGAAGGTCCATCAATGTGATAGCTGGAGGGCTGGACTTTGGTATTATCAGGTATGTTAAACCTTCTAAGGTACGAGATATGAACAGTTTGCCTTAATTTTTTCACCTGCATATTCTTTATATTGTATATAGCAATACAGTTGAATCTATTTATATAATATTATAATATATAATGTTTGTTATTGCCTTTCTTTTGCAGACTGTGGAGCAGCTGGGATCTGCAGGCAGTCCGAGACATTCGTCACGCTGACATGGGAACAGCTATAATGAGGTATGGTAAGACACAGGGATCGTTGGTTTAGCTGTGTATTAAAAGATCCCATAGTATGTGCTAAAGATAATGAGAAGAAATGTATTTGATGCATTTGTTTGTTTAGTAGTAAGGTGTTTTATGGGTGTAACTTACAGAGAACACATGCCTTCTTCTTGAATATGAGTTAGCTAAATTTACATTTGTAATGAGAGTATCTTCCTTTGTTTTTCCAGCTTAACTTTTACTCATGATAACCAGAGATTGTTCAGTGCCAACACAGATGGCATGGTGATGATGTGGTCAAAGACCACCAACAACAAAATAAAGCCACAGTTTATACCATTCTTGCAGTGATGAACAGATTTCAAGCAACAAAATATGTCAATTTCTTGTTAATTGGTGCTATTTATATATCAAATTCATATAAGCAATGTACAGTATTTTGGTAGATCTATTTTAGTAGATCTATGAGCACTTACAGTACAAGGTCAGTGGTGTTACATGTAGGTCACAAAGTTAGGTACTCTGTAGAAGGACTGTATTGTGTGACATATTTTTCAGGTTGGACTTTTTTAAAAGAGATAGCTTACATTATAAAATCACCCCCATCTATTCTTAGATATTTTTCATAATTTTATAATGTGATTTTTGACTGCCAGGCAATTGAAAAAAGAGTCATATTTTAAAAGGGCAGGAACCCTCCTGGGAATGTTTGAAAGGTCAAAATGAAATGTGTGTAGTTATGTTATATTTATAAAGTGAAAGACAATTGACTGTTTAAAAGAAAGAAACAAACAAAATCATGACATTTAGAAACAATGTTGATCATGTTTTCTTTAAATGAAGACTTGCTCACAAAGCCATGTCCAAAATGGCCAGTTCTGTTAATGTATAATCGTGCTGTTGGTGCTTTGAAAAGATTGTTGTAACAGTATAGTATTGGTGCATATGAAAGTCATTTTTGAAGGTTTTGAATTAATGATTAACATTTGACAAAAACAGGGTACTAGTAGCATATGTTAATAGACAGCAGCCTCATTATATATATACAGGAAATCAAATTTCCAGTAGCGTATAATGCTCAGAATAAAACAGTATTGAATCGCATAAAAACACTAAGCTTATTTTATTTAAAGATATATGATGGTTAACTATATTACACTAAGTGACAATAAAATAAGTTTTCTGTAGTTCTTGGTTTCATTCTTTACCCCCTTCCCCTTCACAGCACCATGCACTTCATCTGTAGGTATAAATATTTCCTTTTCATCTTTATTACAATTCTGTATAAATATCAAAAGGATGAAATTATTTATAATCTTAATAAATAATATAATACTAAAAATAGTCAATCTGATTTAGCAGATGAGTATTTTACAAAACCTTTATTGCATGCAATTATTGAAATGAACAACAGATGCATTGGACTTCTGCATTCATTTGCTTACTGATGATCTAAATCTGAATACTGCAGATATTTTTTCAGCGGTGTTGGCAATGGCAACTGATCAGTTTTGTTTTTGTATGAGGCCACTTTCTTTCCTCTGGCAATTCTTGTATAATCATGCTGGTACAAACATTCTGCAATACAAGTTCTGGCTATTTCCAATAATGGGCGTGGTCTACTGATGACATCCTGACACCAGATAGACAACTCGTCACAGGCCTCTCCGACCACGCCCTCTTGAAACAGGACTCGAATGGCATTGGGACTCCACCCGGCGCAGACCAGGATTTTGGCGAGTCTGAGGTTTCCAACGTATATTACAGAGGACAGAAGATCCACTTGCTTCATGTGCTTATTAATGTGACACCCAGCTTGAATTAGGCTTTTTGCAACTTCTGCGTTGTTATTTGTTACTGCCACCATCAAGGGCACTTGCTCCTGTTTCTTAGGAGTGTCAAAAATTGCCGTGCCTTGTTCTAGATACAAGTCGTAACCATCTGGATTAGCTCCGTGTTCTAACAGAAGTTTAACACATTCGGTATAATTTTTGACAACGGCGTAGTGGAAAGCATCTTTTTGATGGGAAGTCGTGAGTGTTATGTCCGCTCCCGCTTTTAATAATACTTTTAGAACTTCTGGGTTATTTCTCTGAGTCGCGTGTATCAGAGGCGTCACGTACCAACCATCTCGGTAATTCACGTTTGCCCCTGCTGCCAGCAGTTCCCTAACGCAATTCGCTTTGCCAGTTGCGCTTGCTCTTAAAATGGCAACATTCAAATCCCTGTTTCGTTCAGCCTCTGGTGTCTCCTGTCCCCGAGATCTCTGAGTTTTAATCAGAAGTTTTACCACTGCCACATGCCCCCTGGCTGCGGCCACAGTGAGCGGGGTGTCCCCGTACTCGTCTATAATGTTGACTTTGGCGCCCTTGTCGACCAATAACTCGGTCACTTTGAAGTTCCCATGGTAAGCTGACGCGTGGATGGGAACTCTTCCTTTACTTCCCAGCATGTTCACGTCACCTCCTTTCTCGATTAGAAGTTTTCCTATTCGTCCATAGTTGTTGTTTATTGCCAATTTCAGCGGAGAGTCGCCATCCATGTCTAAGGCATTTGGATCTCCTCCTGGATGGAACGATTCAATAGATAACATACAGCCAAATATATATAATGTACAGTTAAAAATGAAGTGACACGATTGATCTTTAAAAAATTATTCAAGTGTTTCTGATCTCGTCTTAAATATCTAATTATTAATGACGGATAAATTGAAAATTGACATGGCAATCGATTTTCAGGGGAAACTGACAATTTACACGAAATGAAAATATATTTTCGTCTTTTCTAGGACACATTGAAAAATTAATAAAGAGAGAAAGAAAGGGTGAGGGGCAAATATATATCAATAAACCTTACTCCACCCTCAGTGTCAGTCTTTATTGGGAACTCTCCTCTACAGCAAGCACCATAATGCGGATCCACGTAATCTGAGGTCGTCTTACCTGCACTAAGAAGGTATTCCACACATTTAAAGTTCCCCATGTTGGCTGCTCTCATTAAACCTTCATTGACGTTTTCTTTTGTGACTTCTCCGAACTTCCCCCTGAGCGCCTTAGTCAGCAACTCAAGGTCTCCCTTGGAAGCAGCATTTACAATAACGCTGAAACAAAAATCTGAAAGATGGCAAATCCATAGAACCTAAGGAACCTTTTTCGTACAGTAACTCTCTCTGCCGAAAGAATCGTAATATTGTTAATCCAACTATATATAATGACAAAAAATATGCTTAAATTATTGACCTAAAGTTTTTGTTTATATGTTTGTTTTTTTTCAAGATAAAAAAACAATGGTTGACGATGCAAAAGAACAGCAAATTCACCATGTAAATGATTTGTTTCTTCTGACAGAAAATTGAGTCATTTTGGGTTTTAGCCAACATACGGTAACCGTCAGTCAAAACAAGTCGACTTATAAGCAATCTTATTTGCGTAAAGGCACAATTTAGTTCTGCACTGACTCTTTGCGCCTTGTCTGTATTTTTTCTTTTCTTTTTTTCTTTTTCTCGTACCTGTTCCGTCGATGAGCTCATGCCCGACTGATTCGTCTACGCACTTGGATTTCTTCCAATGTTTACAATTTTGCTTCGATATTGAAGGTCCTACCTGCATTAATCTGTGTTTGCATACGAGGAATGTGCTTGAATTTCAAAATAACGTATAATTTTAAAGGACACGTTTTTACAAATGCTATGGGCCTTTAAAGCTTAAATTTGATAGAGTTGAAGTAAAACTCTACTTACGCGCTCATCCTTGTTTCTGCTGATTTTCAAGGTTTTCACCTTGATGGATACTTGCCAACTTGTATTGGGTTCTTCTCGTATTGCAAGCGGATTAAGGTTAACTCCTCAGCCTCGTATATGAAATGTTTGTCTGGTTAACACATGGGGAAGCCTTTTATACCGTAGGTAAATCTGATTTGAAGGACATGGCGTTATCTGCGCAGTAGCAGAAAAGCTTTATTTATATAATTCGCCTTAGATCTCACCATCTACTGGTAGTTTAAATAGTTACAATAAGTTATTTTAGAGGGATAACAACTGTTCGTATGAGATTCATATTACACACACACAAACACACACATCTTAAACAACTCATAGAAATATAATAAATTCCATTTATCAACAAATTAAACCAGCGGTTATTGCAATTATCCTGGAATCTGTGTTTCAAACCACGTGGACCTTCATAGATGGGTTACACCCAAGAGATTATTATAAAAGAAAAAAAAAGAAAAGAAAAAAAACCTGGGTTTCTACATGCCCTAAATTATTTCATTTTTAAAAGTAAAATTAACCATTATTTAGAAGGAAAAGCAAAAGAAAAAATCTTAGAATACAAAGATGTTGAAAAATGGTCTACTCGTCGGCCTATCGGTAGGCTGGTTAGGCCCCTTGCAAGGACCTTAGTCAAGTTTTATTTGGCAGATGCAGGGGCGGATCTAGGATTATTTGAAGGGGGGAGGGGTCCGTGACACGATTCTCTGATGTTGTGCTGAAGAAAAATGCACGTGGTACAAGTAGGCCACTAGAGGGTATATATGACCGAAAGGCATCCTAGCTAAGTTTCAGACGACATTGAAAACTCACCTCTCTACTATCACATTCAGCATCCCAGGCATCCCAGGCATGAAAACAGACCACGACAAAAGCATGCTGATAGTAGAGAGGTGAATTTCTAGTGTCCTCTGAAACTATGATGCGATACGGCCCAAAAGACAGCATTTGTGACATCAGACAGCTGCGTCACTTTTTTCACACTTGTATTGTCGAATCCTTGGACTTAAAAACAACGTTCAAAGCAATCTATATATAAAGGTTGATGCAAAACAAGACAACAGCCCTAGTAGCTCCAACTCGACAGTCTACTTGTACAGTCTCCGTATGGGATTGCGACGTTACAGTCACAGGATTGCGACAGGTGTCCCTCTTCGATTGTGTTACTGACCAAGGACAAGGTCGTTGAACTAGGAAGATGCAAGCCAAAAACAATAATGACCCGTGGGTTCCACTGAACGGCAAACAAACCATAAAATGTGTGAATATGCCACCAGAAAATGCCCACGGACAGAACATGCTAACGTCTGATGAGTACATAGCCAAGCTAGGTAAATTTTAAAGACCGCTTGAGGAAAGTCTTCTCTCATTTGATCATAAATGCAGTGTGGACAAATTGTATACTGATGTTAGGAATGGTAGTCTTATGAATGGAAGTCCAGGGTCCCATGTTATAAGTACAGGTTAGGGTTAGTTGGAGTATTGACGTTAGAATATGAGACGAATGTCACCTGTACAAATTTTAATTTTATTAAAATAGCGGACTACTAGTAGCTACCACTCCTGTGATGTCCTGTCAGTGTGTCACGCCGTCAGTGATGAATCATTACAATATCAATAGTGGAACAAACAACTGCAAAATTTATACACAACTTTTACATGAAACAGCAATTGGATTATGTTGTATACTGAATATATTGTAATGTCATACGTACCATTTGCCAGTGTCCTGCAGTCAAGCAGCCGTACCAAAAAATATTTAGGCTACTGTAGCCCTTTTGGGCAATTAATGAGGGCCTAAAAGTTGGACTAGTTTTAGGGATTGTTCAGAACGTTTTATGTTAACATAGCTAATGTGCACTAACTCCATGGGGACTCTCACAAAATGCAATCAGATTAAAAGACCTACATGTCTCCTCTTGTGTGCAAAGTACTCATAATCACCAGCTTTTCTGTATAATTCTACTCAATTCCAGGAGGTGTGTTAGTGTGTTAGTCTGTTAATCTGATAACATTCAGTGAGAGTCCCTTAATTGTTCTGAATGTGCTCGATCTAAGGTAGATCAACCTTATTAAGAATTACTGCCATCTACTATGAAGATTGTTTTATTTCATAAGCCTTATATTTCATAGCTTTGACAGGAACTAGTACATCTTTATGTGACAAACTGAATATCCTTGATGACAGTCAGTGTTTGACTTATTTTTTAGAGGCAAAACTGAAACGGATGCAGAAGAGTAAAACTGGTCCATCCTCCAAGGACATTATAAACAGTTTAGCTGAAGTGAAGGAACACCAACTGAATTCCATGGTGCAGGACACCATTACTCCATATGTGACATGTCTTGAGGATTCACAAAGTAGTAACACTTCTGAGTTGAGTGTATCCTTCTTGCAGAAGAGACTTTATCCAGAGAGACAAGCTTTGACAACAGAGGAACTGCAGCAATTAATTGCAAATGATGAACTTGCCAAACGTATTTTAGAGGATGATGTTTCTGATGGTGATGTTGAGAAAGGACAGCTATCTGAGGCAGAATATCAGGATCCAAACTCTAGCTCTGGCTCATGATCATTAATAAACATTGTGACTATTTATGAAAATTGTGGAAGTTGGTACATAAAGGTAACTACTATAGTCTACCGCTACAGTTTGTATTTGGGAGCATATGTGATAGAGAATTGATAGAATTCATTGTATTTCCTGCATTGTTCATTCGAAGAATATCCTCAACTAATTATGTTTCGATCCTACCTGTACAAACTCATACTTGTGACGTTATGTGTTTTGTTTTGAATAATTGGGAGAAATTTGATTAAAAGGAAAATTTTTTAGAGCTGTTTGTTTTATTTCCCCCAACTCATATATATTTTATATATTTTATTAATGTCAAACACAATGTACAATGCCAAATAAGTAATATGTAAAATGAAATAAAGCTATAAAATTGCTGAGTGTACATTGTGTTTGCAATTTGCAAATTACATGTATGCACTTCAAATAAATGTGATATTCCAAAGTTAATTTTGCAGTTAATGTGATAAAATATAACTTTTAAATTGACGGAAACTTTATTTACCAAAGCATATTATGTAATTAGTTTACAAAAAGATCAACATACACTGTACATAGTTTTCACTCCGTTTTTAAAAATCTATCACCAGACTGACAATTTAGTCTGAAGAGATATGACAATGTTGCTTTCCCACCACAGAAACTTGGTCAACAAGACTTAAATTGGAAGACCTATAATATAATTTTTGACTTCATTTGTTAAAAATTCAACTGGGTGACCAATTTAATCAGTATTATCTTAGGATATTTGATTAATGGGCCTTCAGTTTAAATCTTAACATTAAATGCCCTTTTCCAATACTTCTTTTATTGAGATAATTGTATGTTACAAAGGTACAGTCAGGTTTTCCAGAAGCAGTGCTGTGGGTCTGCCCAAAAAAAGAAACCGTCGATGAAAAACTGGCAATGCAGTAGATGAGATATAGAAGCACCACTACCACATTGAGTTAGCAGTTTGCACTGTTTTGGGTGAAGCGAAATGTCCTACACTGTCTTGTACAAGAATGCTTGTTAATTTTTTTTTTGTTGTTGTTTCTTAAAAATAAAAGACCCTGTCTGTTCTAATATGAAAAAGTAATTTTTAATTATTTTATTATTCATTATTTCTTGTTTGAGATTTGACTTCCAAAATATTTTTGTAGAAACAGAATACTCAATGTGCAGACCTATACAGCCATGTACGGCTGTATCAGGACCCTGTATTTTTTGCTATCTCTGCTAAATTAAGATACCATTGTCTTTATTGGAGTCCAAAATAGCATCCTCCAACACTGAATGCAGTGATCTATCCTGAGCTTAAAGGGCACATAGAAATGTGATCCTTATGACGCTCCACATCATTCTATTTATGATTCAAAGTTAGCAAAGAAATGGCGTTGTATATACTATTATTGAAGCAGTAACCATAGGTAAAGGAATTATAGTTGGGAAGGTTGGGAAACAAAGTCCACACACACAGACTTTTTAACCCTTGGTAAGAGGTATTATCTTTCCAAATATTTCAATAAACAACTGTTTATGATTGTTCATGAATAACATGTCAATGTCAAGATACAGATAAAGAAAGAGGTCATTCACAAATATGGGTATATTGGAGTTCTATCAATTGGGTGCATTTAGCACTGGAAAAATAGACCCTCAAATGCTTAAATTATTTTTTTAATCCAAGGGGGAAGGGAGCTCCTTAGCTGTCTTTGATAAGAATAGACCTACACTAATGAGAAAACTGCAAATCAAACGATACTCCTTTATGCCAATAATAGAGATGATTCTTATCACTTGTCATTTCGGGGCACATTATCATCTATTATGTTGGACTTCAAAGGCAAGATGGTGTGACAGGGCACATGGTTGATTGGTCCTACCCATGGAATTAGCATCTTTATTATCATTGGTCTGAGTTTAATCATTGAGATTGTCTTTTGACATCCTTATTATTTGGGTGCTGAATTGTGTAGGTCATATGGAAGTTTCCTTATATTTCCCTAACATAAACCAAGTGCTTTTTTTATCTTCTATTGTATATTTGGGGTGGTAGTCATTGAAATCACATATATACTGGTATATGCAACATATATAGGTTATGTTTTGCTTTGTATAATGTACTTTTAAAACTTTTCATATAACTATCTAATTATTAAATTATTTGTTAATTCATTTTGGGGTATACAGTTTTAGTGCATAGCTTACAAATAGACCCATGTAAGAATTGCTGCAAACAAGAAAGAGAAAGGGTTATTATAATAGACATGTCATACAGGAAGTCCATGATAGTATTATATTATAGGAAGTTGTGGTTTTTATATCAGTAGTTTATCTTCTTAAAACAAATTTAGCTTACAATTGTAGTGTTGATGGCTATATTTCTAATAATAAGATTGAAAATAAATGACACTGAACTATTAATTGATGTCAAAAGTAAAACACTTTGACATATAAAATGTCAGGAAATGATTCTCGTTTGTGGTTTTGGATCCTTTTATATCTTAAGAAGAATAAAGAAGTGCATTGTACATGTTTTTTATAAGCCACCCAAAATTGTTTATATATTTATTTTTGTCATGAATGTAAGGGCATGGTGGGCGTATGATTAAAAATATGTTTTGTATTTTTTTTTCATTTGTGATGATCTCAAACAGAAATGCATTACCAAATTCAGCATTTATGGGCTTTTTTGTATGATCTCAAACTTAAATGTTTTTAAAACTAAAATCTTTTGAAAAGTCCATTTACAGAGAGTTAAATGTAAGTCATATATGCAAATTAATCACAAAACTTGCTACAGTTTAAATACAAAAATTTGCCCCTTTATCTTTGTGTTGAATGTTCAGTTTATTTGTAGCTGTAGAAAGACACTATACAAAGTCTCATAGTTTGCTTGCGGTGTTTTAAATGTGTAAAAGACATTTGAGTACATTTATAATAGAATATATTCAATGTTGGTTTATATAGGAGAAAAATTCTATAAATGTATCTTGCCTTTCAAAGAACAACATTTTCTTTTTATGTTAAATTTTAGTCTTCAAAGATTGTCCATAAGAGGTATAATGATGCTAGTGGTTGAAAGAATTACTGTAATTTTACTTTGCATTATGGTTCGTTGATAAAAGCATATGAAACTCCTTCAAATGTGCACAGGTGTTTTAAGTCTTTAGGGTAAAAACCTATTGTATTCTTTCTTGAATCCTACTTTACACATGGTTTATGATTGTTACCTGTTACTTTAGCCTGAAGTTATTAGGACTTAAAGAAGAAAAAGATCAAAAACCTGGGTGAAAAGATGAGTGACTTTTACTGCAGGGAATATGAAAATTGGATGATCAGAGCTCATCATTCACAGAACATATGTGATTAATGACAGGGGAAGAAAAAAAGTGAAAAAACATGTCTATTTTATTGCTTTCTTTAAAAAACAGCAAAATGCAAGAGAATTTGAGGATGGTACTGTGCAGTTTAATTGGTACTGTATCATTGTATCAAGGATTTGTTTTCAGGAATCCATACAGAACAGCATATAAGTGTTATGGATTATCTGTAAAAAGTCCAAATGATATTGTCTTACAGTCTGTATGGACTGTGTCACACAGTTGATTTTATAAAACTGCTCACAATTGAGAATTGCCATGAACTTCTTTATTAATTATAATTTGGTCTCAAACATATCTCATGAACTGGGTGTGGTGTGGATACATCATACAAAGATGGCAAAGTGACACGTGAAACAAATGTCTTTAGGCATAATTTTGATTTACATAAATTTGTGATTTACAGTTTGTTTTTGTCTACACTAGGGCTTAGCAAACATGGTTTGATGGACAGTTGCAATTCACACATTTTTTCATCTATTAAGAAGGTACATGTACCTGTTCTTTATTCATGATGACACCAGTTTTGTTTGCAAATCAAAATCATATCTGTAAGTAAAACATATTTGATAAAGGGATATATATTCTAAAGATCCAAATTTGCTAATTAATAGCATGCCATATTGAATTTTTGTGCCAAAAAGTACTTTTTTGACAAAATTCATGTTAAATCTTCACTCACTGTATGTAGGTTTGATCCCTGGAAGAGGCAGACAATTTAAATGATTAGTCATCATAATCTCAAGTTTAGCACACCTTGATGAAAGGGTGGAATTAATCCTTTCTCTGTTTAGGTGTATCACATGAGTGGCTTTGCCTTGAGGTAGTTTTGCTTGACATATGGCATGATGATATGGAGTGTGTTTGCAGGGGGGCTGGAGGAGAGGGTGTTAGTACGTACCTCGTATTCTTGAATAAGAATCTGTGCATATTAAATTTCTTCATTTTTGATGTAATTAATTATTGCGTCAGTGTCTCATTCTGGAGCTCAACTCAGCTTGGCATGGAATTTACTTCTTAGTGAACTAATTTATCTCTTTTAAGTCTCTTATTAATCTCTCCAAGTTTTGAAAGAGCACATCTCTAAATTTTCAGTTAACCCCAACTACCCCCTTCCCCCCGTCAGACTGAGAGAACCATTGTTATTGGTCAATTTAAAAAAATTTTTTTTTTGCAGTTTGCGATCATCAGCCACAGATTTGTGATTGCAAATATCAAATTAACAACACCCTAACCATGATATCGTGGTGGGAACATAAAATTCGTATTTGCGAACACCACATAAAAAAGCATGAACAATTTAGCCAGCTTTCACCTGGGTCTCTCGATGTTTACATATGATTTCTTTCTAAACCCCTGCTACTTTCAATACAGGAGTTACGTGCTCTCGACAATCTCTTGCACATACGAAATAGTAGGCAATGGTGTTGCTCTTTTCTGATGCCTGCGAACACTAATTTTACATTAATGCCATGATATTGTGATTTGAGTCATTAATTCAGCATTCGCAATCACAAACCCGAGGCTTGAGATCATCGACAGCTAATTCGTTTATAACACCTGTAATTTATTTTTGTTAAAAATGTGGTTGTACTTGTTAACCAGGCTTTCTCATTTGAGGTAGGTGGTCTAATTTGGAGATGCAGTCCTATAACAAGAGATTAAGTGTGAGATTAATGAAAATCTAGTCAGAAGACTAATGGAGGATTGTCAAGATAAGAGGAGCAGGGGCACCTCCTAAAGCACATTACATATCTCAGTCCTCTAATTAATCATGATTTAACCATCTGAACCATCATGTGCTCCTCTTAGGCAGTGTTTGACAATGCTAATCACTGTCTCTGGTTCTCTTACCTGGTAGACCTTCGTTGATAACATCTCGAATCTCTTTCACAAG